GGGGAAGAGGTGCAAGGACCAGAGGGATGCTAGTGGGAGCCTTAACACCACGCCTGAGCAAGCCGGAGAGGAGGAAGCATGCCCTTGCCATCGCCCATCATGCGCAGAAGTTTTGAGGTGCAGGGAGGGGCGGAAAAGGCTGGGGGTGACAAAACTTTTATGTTGTGGGAGGTACAAGAACAGACCACTCCCCGATTCTGCTAGCTATTGAGTCAGACATGAACTTACGACGCTCTTCACTGTAAATAGTTTGCACCAAGAATAAAGCCTGGAAAAGGACAGGTCGGAGTCTTGCCTGTTTACTCTTGAGCAACCGCAACAGCATCTGACAGTACCCTCTCCCCAAGAGATCCTCCCTGGCCTATAAGGTTTGTGATAACCATTGCCCAATTATTAATATTTCCACTTGGGCAAAGTTCTCAAGAGAGTTGTCACTTGTGGAGGCTAATTTATCAAGGCAAATGGAGCCATGTTCCACCAATCTCAGGCCACCTTCAGCCAGACCTTACCTGCCGACCTTCTTAATTACAATATATCCATTGCATGGCACTGCCTGCCAGCTTTTATCCTTCGTCTCAGTTTTGCCCTTGAAGAACTCCAAAGAGAAGATGATGGGGACAAAATTAGTTGGCTCTGCGTATTATTGGGTCTGACTCAACTGTTGGTCTCCCTGCCTTTTGCCTTACCAGTACCAATGGGTACCAACAGATGGAAACAGCGTTAGTGGCTGGGTCTTTTGAACAGGAATTGGGTATTTAGCCTGCTTCAGATGGAATGTAATCATACTTGTTGTCCCATAACTTTAGTGAAATTAATTTAGGGTGCACATGGCCCATGTTTCCTCTGTTGTTCTATTTCATTGCTGATTTATTTTATTAATTATTGCAATTTGGTTGGTATTTTGTGCTGTATGCTTTATATTATGTTTCAAATCACCCTGTGATTCCCATGTCTGGTGATGGATGGAATTCTAAAATGAAACAAACAGAATAAACGTATTTTAGAAGACACCTGAAGGCAGCCCTGTATCGGAGGTTTTAATGCTTGATGTTACAGATATGCTGTAAGCCGCCCAGAGTGGCTGGGGAAACCCAGCCAGATGGGTGCAGTATAAATAATTTGTTATTATTTTAGGAGGAGGAGGAATTGTGGGGTGATTTACTTCTTTTTATAAATTGCTATAATTGCCAACAAAGGTCCGTCTAGTTCAAGCTATGGTTTTCCCAGTAGTGATGTATGGAAGTGAGAGCTGGACCATCAAGAAGGCTGATCGCTGAAGAATGGATGCTTTTGAATTCTGGTGCTGGAGGAGACTCTTGAGAGTCCCATGGACTGCAAGAATATCCAACTGATCCATTCTGAAGGAAATCAACCCTGAGTGCTCACTGGAAGGATAGATCTTCTCTGGCCATTTTTCCACACCTCTGAGGGATGTCAACTGCAGAGACTGCTCTTCCATTGTAACAGCCTTCTCTTCTCTTCACTGCTTTTCTGGAGTGGTAGGGACAGCTTCTGGGTATTTAAAGATAGACTAACTTCCATAAATATTGGGATATTTGGGGGAGTCTCATTCCTAACACCCCTCGCCTCTTCTGATGCTACAATACTAGCCATTCACTAAGCTTTCAATTGTATCTGATGTACTTCATACAGCACCTGATTAATTTGATGAATTCTCAAGATGCAGGTGTATTGCGATCACCCAGATCATAACTTAGCAGCCCAGCCCCTTATTTTTCCCATAACTAAAAAAAAAAGCTATAAATGTCACAAATCACCTGTTTCTTGGAAGCCAGAGGGGAAAAAGAACATTTAGAAGCATGGGAAATTGTGTTATGCTGAGTTGGACTATTAGTATGCTCAACACTGACAGTCAGTGACTAAGGAACACAGGTGGCGCTGTGGTGTAAACCACCAAGCCTCTGGGGCTTGCCAATTGTAAGGTTAGCAGTTCAAATTTGCACAATGGTGTGAGTTCCTGTTGCTCTGTCCCAGCTCCTGCCAACCTAGCAGTTTGAAAGCACACCAGTGCACGTAGATAAATAGGTATTGCTGCGGTGGGAAGGTAAACGGCGTTTCCGTGCACTCTGGTTTCCACCACAGTTTTCCATTGTGCCAGAAGCGGTTAAGTCATGCTGGCCACGTGACCCGGAAAGCTGTCTGTGGACAAACGCCAGCTCCCTTGGTCTGAAAACAGAGATGAGTGCTGCACCCCAAAGTTGAATTCGACTGGACTTAACCACCCAGGGGCCCTTTATGTTCACCATTCATAGTGCATGAACATAATCACTGTAGCATATCCAAGAAGCTCTGGCAGATATGGGTGACCAGGTGCAGCTAAGTCAACTCTGATAACTTGATGAGTTATCCTTTGTACTCCTCTCCTAAAAGTTCCTTCTGAAGCCTCACAGATTTGATTAGGTACATGTGTGTAAGGCAGTGTTTCCCAACCGGTGTTCCGCGGCACACTAGTGTGCCGCGAGACGTTGCCTGGTGTGCCGTGGGAGGGAGGCGGGCGAGTCGGGCAGCGAGAGGCGGGGCGGCGGCGGCATCTCCTGCTGGATGCAAATCCAAACATGGCGGGCGCTTCCCTCGCTCCTTTGTAGGCGGACCATCGAGAGAGAAAGAAAAGGAGGCGAAAGAGCGAGAGAAGGCGCCTGCGCGGAAAGAGGAGCGAGCAGTGCGCCTGCGCGCCGCGGCGCCCGAGTGCAGTGAAATTCCGTGAAGAGGGGAGGGGGGGCTGGAAAAGAGAGAAAGGAAAGATTTTTCATTTAAAAAAAAAAAAAGGAAGAGGGAAAGAAGAGAAAAAGCGGCAGAAGCTGAGGGGAAGGTTTCCGTGAGGGAGAGAGAGAGAGAAACGCGGGGCTGGCGGGACCCCTCCTCTTCCGCCACGCGTCGCCCGCCACCGCCTCAGAATCTCCTCAGGAGCGGCGGCGGCTGCTCCCCCTCGCCCCCTTCCTCCCCCCCAGCCCCCTCCCAACCCCCGGATGAGGGACGCGAGGCGGCGCCGCTGAGAGGACGGGAAGGCCCCCGGCGGCGGGGTCGGCTCGAGCAAGGAGGGGCGAGCGCTAGCCGGCTGGCTCTAGCCCGGCAAGAGGAGGAGGAGGAGGAGGAGCACGCCGTCGCTTCCACAGCGGCCGCCCCACACTCCCCTCCCCGGGCACCGGCGGGGAGAATGACGGAGCTCCAGTCCGCGCTGCTACTGCGGAGACAGCTGGCACGTCGGTCGGGGCAAAACACACCACAGCGCAGGCAGAGGCAGGCAGGCCCGTCTCTCCCTGCCCCCCCTCGGACCTGGCCGGCCTGGGGTTTGCACCCCAAACATTCATGTCCACCCCAGCTACACAAGCCACACCTTGCTCTCAGTTCGATCTGTCAAATAACTCACCTATCATTCACATAAAGAACCTAGTCTATCCTCAAACGTCAGAATGTACCTCCTCTCTAGCTTCCCCCACTTCATCTAGGCACTTTCAGCCCTTACTTAACCCACCCCAGCCTGCTTACTCTTCCTTCATTTGCTATAAAAACTAAATACAGAGAGAGACTGAGAGCTGTTGACGAAGAGCTACGTGTGTGTCTTTCTTCGATTCCAGCCAGAATATCAGCTTTGTGTTCAGCCAAACAGGCCCAGGTTGCGCACTGAATAAAGTATTTTATAATTTTTCATATTTCTGTTTACTTACTATTTCATAATAAAGTAATTATAAAATACTTTCTTTGTGTTTATTTGATTCCTATTAAAGAGAGTTACTTTATATATAGTCAATATAGGCACAGAGTTAATTTTTTAAACATTTTCTAATGGTGGTGTGCCTCGAGATTTTTTTCATGAAACAAGTGTGCCTTTGCCCAAAAAAGGTTGGGAAACACTGGTGTAAGGATTTAGTTTGACCAAACTGCAGGAGGCAGTGGAAGACAGGAGTGCCTGGCATGCTCTGGTCCATGGAGTCACAAAGAGTCAGACACGACTAAACAACAACATTGTATGAATTGGCATTAGCAGCTATTTAAAAAGGGGTGTTGGAGGCCAAGTTCTGTGAGGAAGAGAAACAGAAGCGGTTGCTATCTCCACCTCTCTTTCTGGCTGGGTTTCTACGTTTGCCGTTCTTCTGACAGGCAGAAACTCAGTAAGTGGAGAGGATGTGATTCATTGAAATGAATGTGCTTCGCTAACTTAGATCCATAAATTTTATTGGGTCTGCTCCATGAGTATGACCAGCACAGGAAACAACCTATTGTAATGGGTTGCTTTGAAGTCATTTCTGCAACAGGTACAGCCATTTTTAATCCCCACCCCACCCCCATCCCTGTCCCTTATTTTGCCTGACCAGATGTGGCAACCCTGCTCTGAACACCTCTGGACACTGGCTGCCAGGAATTGCAGAAGGGGAGAGTTGCATTCCAGTCCTGGTTCATCCCATATATTCTGTGGGTTTTCCACAATGGGCACCTTGTCAGCCATGGTGAGAAAAGGGTGCTGGACTAGACCATAGCTGTCAACTTTTCCCTTTTCTTGTGAGGAATCCTATTCGGAATAAGGGAATTTCCCTTTAAAAAAGGGAAACGTTGACAGCTATGGACTAGATGGGCCATTGTCCCAATCCATCATGTTCTGATGTGTATCACGTTTGCAGCTATGTAAGAGAACCTTTTGGTCATCCTTTCCACTGTGGTAAACATCTCTCTGCCTTTTGTCGCATTAGACCCGAGGTGTGAAACATGTAAGCCAGAAACCAACTGGGTGGGGGGAATTATCTAGTGAACATTGATCTGACAGCATCTTCTCCACTTCCACTGTTGTCTGCTAACACGCATGGTGATCGCTCAGAATGTTACTGCTAGGGAACCTCTGTTATTCATTATTTTTGAAGGGGTGGTAAATATTGTCTCCTTGCTTTCAAGAATGAAGAATCGGAGGAGTCTCAAACCTTTGCCATGGTTTATTTATCTGTTGCATTTATGTTTCACCTTTTCCTCCAAGTTCCCTCCAAGTGTGGTTGGACTCCAACTGCCACCACCACCACTATCTCTCACCTACTGGACCAACCAATTGGCTAAAACCACTAAACATCACCATCTCATACAGTAACAAACATGAGAAAGTTTTCAATCCAATGTGGTATTCCTGTTCAGTAGGCATGCTTTTAAAGGGCAATCTGGAGGTTCCCAACAGGGGAAGCTTTGTTGTTTCTTGCCATGTGGGGGAGGGAAAGAGTCTCTCTTTAATGTAGGCAAGCAGTGGCTGCTTTGCAAACCGGACAGGGTGTCTTTTTCAACCAACCACACCGGGGTCGGCAAACATTTTTGGGCGTTGGGTGGATTTGAAATTTTGTAGCTGCCAGTTACAAAATGGCTACTGTGGGGTGCGGGATATAGCACAAAATGGCTGCCGTGGGATATGGGATGTGGCACAAAATGGTTGTCACAGCTAATAAGGAGCATCAGCCACCTCCTCCAATGGAAAGAAAAGCACGTACTTCAGCCGCCACCACGATGCTCTTAGAGGAAAGCTCTTGGCGCCTCTCCTCTGTCTGGAATGGAAGGGAGTAGCCGGGGGGGGGTCCGATCTCAAACGTGGCAGAGTTGTGGCAAGAGAGTCTGAGCCACTGCAAGCAGGAAGAGCAAACAGTCCCTCACATCCTGTGGCTTTTCAAAAAGGAGATCTTTATCAAAACCTATTGCAGAGGCCACCATAGTAATTACTGGTGGGCGCCCATGGGCTCCATGTTAGCGGTTCGTGGTTCTACGCCGACTCAACACTGGTCTCCAACTTTCCTTTCCAGAACGTTTAACGAGATGATGGTGGCAACCTGGAGGCCCAGCCCCACGGCCATGGCGGTCCTCACCCAGGAGAAGCAGCTACATCCATCTGCGGGGGGGGGGGAGAGGAGGAGGAGATGAATGGAAGAGGTATTTCAAAATGGTGGTCATGCCCCTCAGCACAACTGTTACCCATAGTCTCTCACCCAATTGCTGCTTCATTCTGTTAACTTATATTTAATTGTCACAATCTGACATACTGATGAGACGGCAGGGGGGAAATGAACTCTCACTGAAACGATGCTGTTTGCCCAAACATTTAAAACAGTGCCCATTGCTAATACTACTCAGAGTAGATCCATTGAAGTTAACATCCATGACTGATTTGGACTTACTCCTTTCAGTGAACCTACTCTGTCTAGAGACAGCCCTGGCTATTTTTCTATTATTATTGTTTTATCAATCATCTTGTAAACCACTGTTTCAATGAAACTTACACCTAAGATAACTAATAACAAAACAAATACAAGATATCAGGCAAGCGTATTCAACTGTACTCTTTTTGGGGCCTGGGAAAAACATTTTTCTTTAGATAAGTTTGCCCAGAAAGTTGATGCAAGTTTTAGTCTGCTGTTATCTTAACTTTTCAAAAGTCTTAAATTATTGTTATTTTTTTCTTATTGGTAATTTGTTTTATCCTTTTTGTAAACCACTTTGAGAGGGTTTTTTTCTTACAATCAAGCATTATATACATTTTATAAAATAAATTAATGTGTTTTATTTTTCTTATTGCTTTCTATTTTTTATCCATTGCTTTCTAATCCACTGTCTCAATGAGACTTACACATCAGATGATTAAAAAGCGTTAAAGACACTTTATCAGCAAATGCATTAAAAACAAGACTAAAGCCCTAACAAATATTGTATTTTTCTGTGTATAAGACTATATTTGCCCCCAAAAAAAATTAAGTTTGAAATTGGGGGTCCTCTTATACACGGAATGTTGCAATTATTTATTTCTTCATTTTGGGGCTCAAAAAATAGGGGTCATCTTATACATGGGGGCATCTTATACACGGAAAAATACGGTAAATGCTAGTAGCAAAGGTTCATTTATTCAGCTGGGAAAGCCTTCAGCTGCCAAAATAATGACCTTTATAGAGCTTGCTCCCTCTTCATGAAAGCTCACATTTCTCCTCTTTCACTTCTCCCTTTAGAGCAGTGTTTCCCAACCTTTTTTGGGCAAAGGCACACTTGTTTCATGAAAAAAATCTCGAGGCACACCACCATTAGAAAATGTTAAAAAATTTAACTCTGTGCCTATATTGACTATATAAAAAGTACAGTGGTGCCTCGCAAGACGAAATTAATTCGTTCCGCAAGTCTCTTCGTCTTGCGAGTTTTTCGTCTTGCGATGCACGGTTTCCCATAGGAATGCATTGAAAATCAATTAATGCGTTCCTAGGGAAACCGCCTTCAGACCAGGTCCGGGGACAGTCTGTCCCCCGACCTCTTCTGAAGGCTGGGGGGGGGACAAGGGCTTTTCTTCCCACTGCCAGCCTTCAGAAGGCTGTTCTGAAGGCTGGCGGTGGGAAGAAAAGCCCTTCTCCCCACCTCCCGCCCCGCAAGCTCCGGGGACAGGAGGGCTTTGCTGCCGACCGCCAGCATTTTAAAAGCCCCTGCTGTCCCGGGGCGATTTTAAAATGCTGGCGGGCGGGAGCGAAGTCTCTGCTGCCCCGAGGAGATTTTAAAATGCTGGGGGTCGGCAGCGAACGCTTCGCTCCCACCCGCCAGCATTTTAAGATCGCCCGGGGCAGCGGAGAAGTCTCTGCTGTCCCGGGAAGGCAGGCAGGGGGAGCAAAGACTTTTGCCCCCGCCTGCCTTCAGAAGAGGTCCAGGACCTCGTTCCGATGCCCGGCGGCGGGGTGCGAGGTTCCCGCCCCACCGCCTGGCATCGGGGCATCGTTCCGATGCCCGGGGGCGGGGGGAGAGGTTCCCGCCCCACCGCCCGGCATCGGAGCAGCGTTCCGAAGCGGGGCGGCTGGGGCAGGTGTTCCCGCCCCCCCGCCCCGCTTCGGAGCAGCGTTCCGAAGCGGGGCGGCTGGGGCAGGTGTTCCCGCCCCCCCCCGCCCCGCTTCGGAGCACCGGGAGAAGCGATCTCCCCGCAGCCCCTTGCTTCAAAAGAGGTCCGGGGGCAGCGGGGAAGAAGCGCTGCGCTTCCCGCTGCCCCCGCACCTCTTTTGAAGCAAGGGGCTGCGGGGAGATCGCTTCTCCCTGCAAACCCTTGCTTCAAAAGAGGTCCGGGGGCAGCGCGAAGCGCTTCCCGCTGTCCCCGGACCTCTTTTGAAGCAAGGGGCGGTGGGGAGAAGCGATCTCGGGCGCCGCGGCGCACAGGTGCACTGCTCGCTCCTCTTTCCGCGCAGGCGCCTTCTCTCGCTCTTTCGCCTCCTTTTCTTTCTCTCTCGATGGTCCGCCTACAAAGGAGCGAGGGAGGCGCCCGCCATGTTTGGATTTGCATCCAGCAGGAGATGCCGCCGCCGCCCCGCCTCTCCCGCCTCCCTCCCACGGCACACCAGGCAAGGTCTCACGGCACACTGGTGTGCCGCGGAACACCGGTTGGGAAACACTGCTTTAGAGTTCATCTTTTAGTTTTCACTTTTCAGCACAGCAATAAAGCACAGCCTTTTCAAGGCACACCATTTAAAAAAAAAAATTAAAAAAGGCTTATTAATATCACTTAACAATTCAAACCAATTTTGAGAGGCTCCCTCTTTTCATCTTGGCTCCTAAAAGCTTGTCCCCAGTCCCTCCACACACACACCATTTTCATGTTAATTCCCTCCCCTGATGCTTTCCAGTAAGATGCAGTTCTGCAGCTAAAAGGGTGGGTCTTGAGGCCACCCACTAAACTGGTTTGCCAAGGTGTCTTGGGGTGCCGGGCTATGGAGAAATATCTGGGATACCTTAATTTTGGTGGGTGTCTGACCCACTCGGATAAAAAACCAACAGAAGATTATATTTAACCCAGTCAATTGAACACGTTGTACTCCTAACTTTAAGGTATTCATATTTAGCTGTATTCAGCAAAGTTCTACTCAGAGTATACCCATTGAAATGATAGAGCCTAATATGGAGCAAGCTTATTTCCTGCTGCTCCAGAGGGGAAGACCGGAATCAGACTCAAATTACAAGAAAGGCGATTCTGATTAAGCATTACGAAGAACTTTCCGATGGTAAGAGCCATTCAACAGTGGAACAGGCTCCCTCCTTCATTGGAGGTTTTGAAACAGAGGTTGGAAGACCATCTGTCAGGGGTTTGTTAGCTGTTATTCTTGCAGTGCAGGAGGCCAGACTAGATAGCTCTTGGTGCCCCTTCCAACTCTGCAGTTCTGTGATTCTGTGATGAACAAGGGGTACAACCAGAAGATAGGGAGTCCTTGGGGGTCCCTTCCAACTTTATTATTCTGTTAGTCATGTCCATTGACTTCAGTGGGTTTACTCTGAGTAGGACCATTCTTGAACGACACCCAGAATCATTATTGCATTTCATAGAATCATGGAATTGTAGAATTGGGATGTACCACAAGGGTCAACTAATCCAAATAAATGCTATTGATTAGCTGTTTGCTCCATAAAGTGTCTCTAAGCAACTTACAGAAAAAAATATTAAAGCATAACATAAAGTTTTAAAAGTTTTTTAAAAATTACAATAACAATCCAGAGAATAGACCCTGTAAAACAGTGACAAGATCATGCTAGAATTTCACTGACCTTGAGCTTCATCCTGACAGATGTTGAACACATCAAACGAGATGTTCTTCTGATCAACTGGGTTGCTGACCAGGCAGGTGAAAGTGGAATCGGAGGTGTTTGGCCGCCATGACAGGTGAAGATCCTTGTCGTCATTGGTGAGGCGATACCACTCTAAAGCTTCTGAGGTCCTGAGCGGGTTTCTGTTTTCCCAAGAAAAATGCAAATCTGACTTTCCAGACGTCCGACAATGCAGCGTCACATTACATCGGTTGGCAGTGCTGGAAACGATCTGGTGGTTTATTTGTGGCGACGGCACCGGCTCTGTTGGATAAAAACGATAGATGTTTGCGCTCTGTGGCACACCAAAAGTTTGATGGCCAACTCCTCACTTGGTTGTGAGATAGGCAAAGAAGATAGAGTCCCTTACCATGGACTATGAGGTTGAAGAAGGACTCCACAATCACTGAGGAAGCAAACCTCACGCGGGCATCCATCACTCCAGAGTCCGCCATCGTCAGGTCTTTCATCTTCAGCGTGGTCTCATCAACCATTTCTACCCGTGGTCCAAAACTGTTGCTTGGGTGTGGTTTCCTCAGCTTCTCCTCGGCGAATTCGGCAACCAGGAGTGGCTGACCCCCTGTGGGGTGAATTTCCATTCAACCTCGTCCACTCTTTTCCAGGGGGGTACATTTAGGCGAAACAAGACTGACCCGCCAAGAATCCCGTGCAGCTGGTTGGGGGGATCTTGCGCAGGAAATTGAGCAGCGCCTGAAGTCAATAAGAAATGGAAGCAAACTACTCCAGAAGCATTTTTACTTGGCATTGTAGGAGATGATATGAAAAGAAAGGACTGTAAATTATTTCTATATGCAATGATGGCAGCAAGAATATTATTGGCACAAAATTGGAAGCAAGAAGAATTACCGACAAAAGAAGAATGGAGGGTGAAACTGATGGACTATGCAGAATTAGGTAAATTAACAGGAAGAATTCGAAATCTGCGGGACCAGAGATTCACAGAAGAGTGGCATAAATTTACGGACTATTTGGAAAGTAATTGTGATGATCAGATTACGCTTGTAGGTTTGCGAGAAGTTTTGTAAGGTGGACTATCTGAAATATTGCACACACAAAAAGGTAACGAGGGGGACTGTTAGTTAAGATAATTAAAGGCAATAGGAATTTAAGAAATGCAGAATAAGTGATAAGAACGGAAGACCATCAGAGGGGCTGATGGAAGTCCAAAAAGATTGTATAAGAAATGAAGTTTTGTTGTATGAATGATAATTTATATGTAAAAATTAATAAAAATTATTATTAAAAAAAGGAAGCAAACTATTTCTACAATAGTAATAATAATTATTAGTAACAGTAATTACTAGTAATAATTACTATTAATAGTAATAATTACTAGTAGTAGTAATAATTTATAGCAGTAATGGATGCCAACAGTAATTAATAATAGTAATAATAAACATAGGGAGAGAAACTGTAATAACAACAATGATAATTTTATTATTTATAATAAAATATATGCTGCCCATCTGTCCGGACAGCCCCAGCCACTCTGGGCGGCTCCCAACAAAATATTTAAAGCACAATAAAACATCAGACATTAAAAGCTATAGATACCACAGACTGTTTTTCGTGTTGTTTTTAAGGAAACAGCTTTAAATATGGATGTGCTGTTTTTACTACCTGTGTTTTAATAAACCCTTTTGTATATTGTTTTAATTCTATTAGAGTTTAATTGCTTTTTAACGATTCTCTTTTCTATGCCTTCAGCTTTTTCCATCTTATCTGTGTCCTTTCGATTTGCATAAGCCTTGCAGTTTTGCTTCCCTACAACGGAAAGCGAAAATCCTTCTCTTAAAGTCTTAAAATCTGAAGGTGTCAAAACCTTCTTGGAACTTACGGCTGTTCGCTTTCCTTGGAACAACAGAATGGTTCCCATTTCACAAAGTTCCTGCTGCTGCTGTGGTTTTTTGGGGGTGGGGGGAATCTTGAATTTCAGGAGAATGGCTGCCAGATGGGCAAGCTGAGCTACCATAATTTCCTTGGTCTCAGTGGTGTACATGGATTCCCTCCTCCCCATGTTAACTTCACAACTACCTTCTGAGGTAGGCTAGGCTGAAAGATGGTGACTGACCCCAATGTCACAACCAGGGAGCTTCATGGCCAAGTGGGGGTCCGAACCCTGCTCTCTCTCAGGTTCTAGTCCAACCATCTAACCACCCCTGACTCTTTCCATTGGGATGCGTCACTCCACTAAGGACTTGCGCTGGAGATGAGGAGCACCTTTGACTGTTTTGGGTCTTGAGAACATCAGACGGGTCTTTCAGCAGCAGCTGGATACGGCCAAAGGGGGTCCAACCAGCCCAGTCAACCAGATGACCCAAAGGAAACCAGCACGCAAGCAGGAAGAGTGCAACAAACAGGAGTCTCTCCCCACTTGGGATCCAGAAACCAGCCTCTGTCAGGGGAGGGAGGTCTTGCTAGGCTGGCTGTGAGATTCCTCTCTCCCTTTTCTCCACTGCTCACCTGGGAATTGGAGAATGGCGAGTAGAAGCATGAGCTGGGTGCTGTGGGCTTCCATCCTTGCCTCTGTTCTCTGCCACCTTCCTCCCCCGGTGCTGAAACAGGTTCTTGTGTGTGGTCTTCCCTCTCTGCACCAGTCTTCAGCCCCTCCTGCGTTGCCTTCAGGCCTCCCAACCAACCACAAGTTTCCTCTTCAGCCCCCATGCTTGACACTTTAAGTCTCACTTCCCTGCCAGAAGCAGCAGTTGAGCGAGGCTCTCTCACCCCAGCCCTCAGAAGTGATGGCCCTGGGTTTCTTGGTGGCAGATCAAAGAAGATAAGAGCTGACATGATGGCTGCACGACCCAGCAGAAGGGATGACAGCAGGTGAACCGAAACTCATCTGTCCTCCAAAATTCATACTTCTGAGAATTTCTGCACCAGTGTGTGTGTGTGTGTGTGTGTGTGTGTGTGTGTGTGTGTGTCTATTAGGGGAAAGGGTGCAGAAAAATGCATATATCCAGGGAATAAATATACTAAAGCACATGCTCTTTGGGGAAATTTGCTTGCAAAAAAGGGGAAATTGGGCAAAATGGAACCATGGGATAAATGCACACTGAAATGAGCCAGTGTGGTGTAGTGGTTAGAGTGTTGGACTAGGACCTGGGAGATCAGGGTTTGAATCCCACTCAGCCACGATGGTCACTGGGTGACCTTGGGCCAGTCACTACCCCTCAGTTCTGACCTACCTCACAGGGTTGTTGTAGAGATTAAAGGAGCTGGGAGAGATCCATGTACACCACCTTGAGCTCCTGGAAGAGAAAGGAGCAGTGAGGCAGCAAACGGAACCGTACGAAACTGAGAGAGCTCCAAACTCTGGCAGATTGCTCCATCAGAAGGGACCTGTGTGTTGATCACTTTATTGGAAATGTTTTTAGCTTCTGCTCTAAGGTTTTGGATATGTTCATGGGAGTATTTTTCTGGCCAGTTGTGTATTTTAATTATATATATATATATCTGTCTCTTGTATTTACCAGAAAATGTCATAACCCTCCTCCTGTTTGCGGGAACAGGTCTTGACGAAGACAATGAAAACTCTTTTGAGATAAGTTTGTTATTCAGGAACTAGAGAGATGTGGATATGGGCTTCCAAAAATTAAGGCCGGGCACTCTTTGCTTCAAACTCATCTTACAAAACAACAATGCACTGGAAGGAACAATCAACAGTTCTCAGGACTACAGGGTTACATTATTCACTCACTGAGGAAGCCCCTTTCCCCCTCTCTCCATAAAAGTTAGAAGAACCAAAGATTTTCAGCACAGCTTCAGGTTTTGGCTGCTCTCATAGACAAAAAACCATGGAGTCAAGTGCTAAGAATAAATCCTTTTTTGCAACCCACAGCTGATCAGTATTGGCTGTGTTACTAATAAAAAGGAACATGACTTGTTAGTCCCAGAAATACTGTACTCTTAGCATAGGACAACTTGAGTTTTTCTCATACCCCATAAAAGCTCTTTATCTCAAAGAGGCCACAGGCAATTAGAGGATACAGTGGGGTGGTAATTCTTGTCAACCAGTTTCTGTAGTAATTAAATTATTGTGTTGGGCACTATTTTGAATATTCGTAGGAAAGTTTGTGAAATAAATCCATTTCTAAGACTATATTCCCAATTATTGTTTTCAGGGGGGGGAATAAAAAAATAAAAGAAGAACCAAAGATTTGTTTGTTTGTTGCACTTATATCTCACATTTTCCTTCCAGGAGCCCAAGGTGGTGTATGAGGGTCTGCCCTCCATTTTATCTTCACAACCCTGTGAGGTGGCCCAAGGTCACCCAGTAAGTTTCAGGACTGAGTGGGGATTTGAACCTCCCAGTAGGTCTGGAAGATGTATTGATACATTGTCCAGAACAAGTCTGAGAGCCAGAGCGTGGTGACTATTACAGTGGTGCCTCGCAAGACAAAATTAATTCGTTCCGCAAGTTTTTTCTTCTTGCGAGTTTTTCGTCTTGCGAAGCACGGTTTCCCATAGGAATGCATTGAAAATCAATCAATGCATTCCTATGGAGACCGTCCGGGGACAGAGACCTTCTGTCCCCGGACCTGTTTTAAAGCAAGGGGCAGCGGGGAGAAGATTGCTTCTCCCCGCTGCCTGCCCCGCAATCTCCGGGGACAGAGGGGAAGGCGCGCGCGCCTTCCCCTCTATCCTCTCTTTTGAAACAAGGGGCGGAGGGGAGAAGATCACTTCTCCCCATTGCCGCCCCTTGGTTCAAAAGGGGTCCGGGGACAGGGGAAGGCGCGTGCGCCTTCCCCTCTGTCCCTGGAGATTGCGGGGCTGGCAACGGGGAGAAGCGATCTTCTCCCCGCTGCCCCTTGCTTCAAAAGAGGTCCGGGGACAGCGGGGAAGACGCGCTGCACTTCCCCGCTATCCCCGGAGCTTGCGGGGCAAGCTTCATTTTGCTAAGCAAGCCCATAGGGAAATGCGTCTTGCGAAGCGGCTAAGAAAACGAAAAACTCCTTCGTCTAGCGAGTTTTTCGTCTTCCGAGGCGTTCGTCTTGCGGGGTACCACTGTACCAGATTTTTGACCAAGGCAGTATACTGCAGGTGGGGCTTACTTGCTGGCCGGCCAGCAGCTTGACCGCCTTCTCTGGCTGAGCAGGTGGGCTGCCTTATTCCTCCCTATGCCAGGCACTGGCAACAGCGGGAGCAGCAGCAGCTTCACCACAGTGCCTTGCGATGGTGGGGCCAGTGCTCCTTCCTTTTGCCTCCGCATGCCAGGCAGTGGCGGTGACAGGAGCAGTGGTGGGTTCAACCCAGTGCCTTGCGGTCTTCAATGTGGGCCAGGACTCCTCATTTGTGTGAAGAGTACCATGCCTGTCCAACTTCGCAATCTCCTCTCCCTCTGTGCTACCCGGGTGTGGTGCCGATACTAGGGCTGGGCGATGTATCTTGGCTGTTTCTTCCCATCCTATTTCCTCCTTCCTCCTTTCAGACATTGCGATGTATCACTATATTGTGATGTTTACCTGGTGATACAGCACGATGTTGAAAACCTGATATCACCCAGCCCTGTCTCCCATGTCCTAGTCCGACACTCTAACCGCTACACCACGCTGGCTCTCTATAGGTATACGCTTAAGTATACTTAAACCTCAGATTTTCAATGGTTAGTTAGCTCACAGCTGCAATGGGACCCCCTCTTTGCTCCTCAAGCATCTCATGGACCAACCCAACGCTTTGCTGGACCAAGGAATGGGTGAGAGACTGTTACCTCGCTGGCACAGGAATCTGAAGCTTCACTCTCAGAAGGCACAGATCTTAATGCCTGACTTTGTGCTCCTCTTGCCCTAAGACTGGGCATATCCCTCCCCTTCCCTAGTGGTTACTATGGCACATTGCTGCAATCACTTTCTCTAAGACTTCTAGGTACTTAGGGATCCTTAACTGTTTGGCAGTGCCTAATAATGCTCCAACTACTGCACAATTGCACTCATTTCACATGCTAGCAAGGTTATGCTTAAAATTCTACAAGGCAGGCTTAAGCAGTATGTGGACCGAGAACTCCCAGAAGTGCAAGCTGGATTTAGAAGAGGCAGAGGAACCAGAGACCAAATTGCAAACATGCGCTGGATTATGGAGAAAGCTAGAGAGTTCCAGAGAGACATCTACTTCTGCTTCATTGACTATGCAAAAGCCTTTGACTGTGTTGACCACAGCAAACTATGGCAAGTTCTTAAAGAAATGGGAGTGCCTGATCACCTCATCTGTCTCGTGAGAAATCTCTATGTGGGACAAAAAGCTACAGTTAGAACTGGATATGGAACAACTGATTGGTTCAAAATTGGGAAAGGTGTACGACAAGGCTGTATATTGTCTCCCTGCTTATTTAACTTACATGCAGAATTCATCATACGAAAGGCTGGGCTGGATGAATCCGAAGCCGGAATTAAGATTTCCGGAAGAAATATCAACAACCTCAGATATGCAGATGACACAACCTTGATGACAGACAGTGAGGAGGAATTAAAGAACCTTTTAATGAGGGTGAAAGAGGAGAGCGCAAAATACGGTCTGAAGCTCAACATCAAAAAAACGAAGTTCATGGCCACTGGTCCCATCACCTCCTGGCAAATAGAAGGGGGAGAAATGGAGGCAGTGAGAGATTTTACTTTCTTGGGCTCCATGATCACTGCAGATGGTGACAGCAGTCATGAAATTAAAAAACGCCTGCTTCTTGGGAGAAAAGTAATGACAAACCTAGACAGCATCTTAAAAAGCAGAGACATCACCTTGCCAACAAAGGTCTGTCTAGTTCAAGCTCTGGTTTTCCCAGTAGTGATGTATGGAAGTGAGAGCTGGACCATAAAGAAGGCTGATCACCGAAGAATGGATGCTTTTGAATTCTGGTGCTGGAGAAGACTCTTGAGAGTCCCATGGACTGCAAGAAGATCAAACCTCTCCATTCTGAGGGAAATCAGCCCTGAGTGCTCACTGGAAGGACAGATCGTGAAGCTGAGGCTCCAAGACTTTGGCCACCTCAGGAGAGGACAAGACTCCCTGGAAAAGACCCTGATGTTGGGAAAGATGGAGGGCACAAGAAGAAGGGGACGACAGAGGATGAGATGGTGGGACAGTGTTCTCAAAGCTACGAACATGAGTTTGACCAAGCTGTGGGAGGCAGTGGAAGACAGGAGTGCCTGGAGTGCTCTGGTCCAGGGGGTCACGAAGAGTCAAACACGACTAAACAACAACAAACTTTGGAATTAAGCTGTGTGGATGTTAATGGTAATGCCTGCTACCTTGCTGTCTGAAGCAGCACTCGTACACTCCACCTCTTTCATTTCCGTGTAGTAAACAACTCTTTTTGTAGAAAAGCTCTTTATTGGGTGTATGGATTAAAAGCATGCACACATTTTAAATGAACACACACCCTGACTCCACACAAAAGGTTCCATTCCCCTCTGACATGTTATGATGAGTTCATATACATGCCGGACACCCATGTAGGTTCAAGCATACGTACACCTTGTAACAAATTACAGTTCTGAGATCTGCCTTATTGACTGTTAGGTTGGCTTCCGATCGACTGACTTCCGCTCTTGCATTGCTTGCTTGTATTAAGAGCATGTAAAGAGCCCTACAAGTGGATCACGCCAAAGGGGGCCTGATAACTCTCCCCATTTCTGCTCCCCATCAGTCAGCGTTACTGTTTGGCGGCATGGTGCCTCTGAAACTGGAGCCATTATGTAGCCATCATGACTTGATGGAATTGTCTTCAGAGAAGCTGTTGCATTCTCACCATAACTGCACTGCGCATTTAATCATGCTGGTCTTCCCTCTCACCCATTGGGATCATAGCTGTCAACTGCTTTCTTTAAGCAGAGGCTTGACAACCATATGTCAGGAGTGCTCTGATGGTGTTTCCTGCTTGGCAGGGGGTTGGACTCGATGGCCCTTGTGGTCTCTTCCAACTCTATGATTCTATGATTCTATGAACTTACAGATTTGAAAATAAGGGACCAGCAGCCTCGAAAATAAGGGATCAGCAGCCAATATAAGGGATTTTAGTCAACCAGCTGAAATGCAATGTTAAAAGGGACCAGATAATTTTGGAGAGCAGCGCTGGTTTTTAGCCCTTCGTTTCCAGAGGTTGCTGCTCAAGACACCAGCTGATGAAACACTGCAATTGAATAACTACAAGCAGCAACCACTTTTCGTGCAAAACAAAGTCCAAGCTACGAAGATGCTGCTGCAGTTCTGTATCTTTTCTCTCGTGCTCCATCTGCAGCTCTCAGTTCCATCAGGCGGGGCGGGAGGAAGGGGGGGGAATAGCGCCCGAAGTAAACCCGCAGATCAGACCATCTATGCTAGTCTACCACTACAAATCTATGGGAGAAGCACTTGCGGTCCTTTCTCCGCTTTCCCCCAATATGGTTAGCCCTTGGAACACCTGCCCGCGCCTCCGCCTCCTCGTCCTCTCTCTGAACTGCTTTCTCTATGGTTGCCCTCGCTCTCCTCTCAAGGCTCCTCAGCAATACATAGGCCGCGCCAGGCTGCCCATCTCATTCGGGTCCTTCGGCAGTGCAGCCGCAGTACAGCCTAGCGGCGGCAGTGGGCGAAGGGGAGGCCCCAGGCAGAGACGTTCAGTTCGGCGGCCTGGCCGGCAGGGAGGGAGGGAGAGGAGCTGCTTTCTTTGAAACCTGGGAAATTTAAGGGACATCATCAATAAGGGACAGCAGAGGGACACAGCGCTGGGATAAGGGAGTTTTCCCGGCAAATAAGGGACGGTTGACAGCTATGATTGGGATAATGTTCTGCATGGTTGTTTTGTGAAGAGAGCCCCCATGTGGAGGCCCTCTTGTTGACACAAGTCATTCATCATTATAAGACAGGAAGTGTCTTGTTGGATGTTACAGGAAAAATTCCCCAGCTCACTTGGATTATCAAACAAAGACTTCAGCCAAGATTATAGAAGCAAAACAGCAGCCAATAGGCCTGATCTTTATCATTGCAACAAGACTTCAAACTACAACATGGAAGAAGTAGAAAGAAGCCCTGAACAAAGGATGGCTCCCCTTTTTATAGGTTTCCCAAATTACCCATAACACCCTTACTAAAGGATCATACATCTGTCATAACTATGTCATAAATTGGGAGGGGTCTTCTGGCAGAAACCTGACCTCCCCCTTCCAATCTTTAGGTGGAACAAAGGTAAGCATTTATATTTTCCTGTTTTCCCAGCCAAGTTAAGCACACCCTTTTGTCTTGACTGAGATCCCAATCCACTAAGGTTGGGTTTGGGATTGTTCTTGGAATGACTACCTGTCTGGCACTCAGGTGCCAGGATGCCAGCGATTATCACCCGGGCAGTGGAGCCGATTATGGCTGCCCCTACCCATGTCCCAAGCTCCTCCCCTGTGAAATATACTCCGAGTCCTGTAGTGATTTCATACTCTTTATTGCAGCTTGTAAAACAGTGATTGAATTTCCCCCCAAACCTCAGGCTTTTATATACATTATTTACACAATGAGTCCCATCTGATTGGCTGATTCTGCTTCCCTCCTAGAGCTGATTGGTCTTTTCCTGCAGGCCAATCAGTTGTTGCATTCTAGGATCCTACTTGCCTATTGTACTAGGATCCAAGCTTAGTACATAGCACCTGCTAGCCATTTTCCTTCTGAGTAGAACAATGTTGGAATGGCTAAAATCTGGGTCATGTGGCCAGCATGACTAAGCCGCTTCTGGCAAACCAGAGCAGCGCACGGAAATGCCGTTTACCTTCCTGTTGGAGTGATACCTGTTTATTTACCTGCACTTTGACGTGCTTTCGAACTGCTAGGTTGGCATGAGCTGGGACCGAGCAATGGGAGCTCACCCCATCATGGGGATTCGAACCGCCAACCTTCTGATCGGCAAGCCCTAGGCTCTGTGGTTTAACCCACAGCACCACCCGCGTCCCTTTTAAAGTCTTAGATATATAATAAATGTTCATAAATGTACCAACCAAGCATGTACATAGATCAGCACAGGAAGACCGACCTGAAACCATTTTTGATTCCCAAACTGACCAAATGTTTTCTCTGCAAGATCAAAGTGGGAAACCTCCCCATTGTCTCTTTCCTCACAAATCCTGTCTTAAGGACACATTTAAGATATGAATAGGGTGTGCGCCTGTGACCTGGCTCAGGAACTAAGTATTTATCATTATAAAAGACTGGCCAGGCTCCCCAGGGTATCCAATGAAGTAAGCATTAACAGGTAACTTGTCAGACGAGATAAACAATGCACTCAAATTTCTGTTGTAGACTGCCCTTTCTGTGATGTAGGTATGATGTATCTGGGGGGGTGGTCTTGAGCTACACCCCTTGATGTAGGTATGATTTTTCTGGTGGTGGTTTGGGACTCCAAGGCGGGCAATTTAAAATGTCTAAATAAGGGCTGACACACCTTTGTTCTTTTTAAAAAAAATAATTTTTATTAAGTTTTCCATTTAACAATCCAATCATATCACATTAATTATTGCAAATTATACCAATACATATAATAAAGTCCAAATATTTCGCCAAATTACAAATTTTTGTTGGGGGTTCCCATGCTTCAAGTTCAGTAAGGGTCCAGTCATCTCATATTTCTGCTGCTTTTAGTGTTCACCAATCCCATCTTTCAATCTTCTTGTTGATATCCTTTTTCTTCTTAATAGCCTCTGAGTGTTTCCACAGGCGAGTTAAAGTACCGGTAAACATTATTATGCTTCTGTGTGAACTTTGGAAGACTCTCCCTTTTTTAAAGCTGGTAAGTCTTTTGTTTGCAATAAATCTTCACACGCTGATCCAGAAGTCCTGCTCGGGCGGCAGGCGCCATCTTTCTCAGTTCCGATGAAATAAAATCTAAGCATCTGCTCATTAATTTTCCCAGACAAGTTGCACCATAAATCAGTCTTTCCAGAGAAGATTTGCCATCAAACTTAGAATACAAACATGATAACAGAACAACGGCTCGCCTCCCCCTCTGACTATTAATCTCGCAACATAGTCTGTCTTGTAATGGCGGATCCCGATTAAAAATTGCGTCACAAGAGAGCCTTTTATTTTCTTTCCAAATCTTTCACAAAACAAAGGCTTTAGTTGATATTTTTATTTCCACACAGTTTATTTTCCAATCTCACTTGCTATAAGTTGTATGATAATATCGTAGTAAAAAAAAGGAAAAGTTCCCCCCCTCCTTTCCGTTCCGTTTCAACATACCGGGATAGATGTTATTCTTTAATGTTATCTTCTGTCCAGTCCATTCCATCACTCTTAACTTCTTAGTGGCAGGCTTAATTAGCAGCTAACATACCCTTTTCTTCACTCAAAGCATGTGCAATAATTCTTATTTCCAATTTTTCATCTTAAGAAATGCAACTAGAGTTGCTCTCAGAGACAGCGTCAAGGAGATCCAAACTCACTCGAGGGCTTTCCGTCTCCTCTTTGGGGGGGGGGACTGGGGGTTGATGTAGCTCAGTCATTGTCTGAGAGTGAGAGGTGTTATGTGTTCTAGTCACTCTGCAGAGAGAGGCAGAAAGAGAAATGTAAGAGGCTTCATAATGCAGGGCCAACCACACACTAAGGAAGCAGATCCTGAAGATTTGAGGCTGCTGGAGCAAACCAGGAATAAATCAAATCCTGTACACTACTGGATCGACACACATCCTACTTCCACTTTAGGCTCATCCACACTTCTGCTTGTGCATTAAGAACATAATACAGTGGTACCTTAGTTCTTGAACTCAATCCATTCTGGAAATCTGTTCGACTTCCAAAACATTCGCAAACCAAGAGGCAGCTTCTGATTGGCTGATTGGCCCCAGAAACAGTGCCGACACCCGAAATGGAAGATTGGCTTCCAAAGAACGTCTGCAAACCGGTACGCTTACTTCCGGGTTTGCGGCATTCGGGAGCCAATTTGTTTGGGAGCCAAGCCATCCAGGAAGCAAGGTACCACTGTAATGTAAGAAGAGCCTGGCTGCTGGATCAGGCCAAAGGGGGCCCACCTAGTCCAGCATCTTGTTCTTACAGGGGCCCCTGAGATGCTTGTGGGAAACCAGCAAGCAGGAACTGAGCACAAGAGCAGCTCTCTCCTCCTGCGGTTTCCTGCAGCTGACATTTGTGGGATGTGAAACACAAGAGCAGTCAAGTACAACCTTCCTAGAGTGAACATGCTTACACATTGGGAAGAATGTTTGTCCAGCCAGCAGGTCAACTTCCTGTTTCCTTCTGGGCTGGGACAGACTTCCTCTGCATGTGACTAGAGGTGGACGTGGCCTCACCTGTGCAGGTAATGACAAAAGCACAGGGCAGGGCAGCCATCTCTCTCTCTTTGACTACATGCGTCAAAGAAGCAACATCTGCTTAGCCAAAGATGCCCTCTTGGCTTCTAGCCAAGAGAGGACAAAGGGACTGTCTTCTTATGAGATAGTTTCCAGGTGTATATAACTTTTCTAAGCTAAGTCTGCCTTCTGGGATCTGATTGTGAACAGAATGTGAGTGAGTAAACTCTTTTTATACTTTTATAGAAGACTGTGTCGTGTCTTATCTTTTATGAGGGAATAAGGGGGAAATACCAGAACAGTTATTCTAGAGGCTTTAGCGAGCCTAAGCAAATGCATCCACTGCAAGTTTAAAAAGGGGAATGTTACTCTGCTAAATTGTGAACTTGTTAACACAAGTTGGAAAGGCTATTATCAGACAATATATCCTCCTGCATCCCTGAACATTCCCTGAACATTCCCACAACATTCAGAAGCATCGCTGGCCCCAACGGCAGAAATGTGTTATTCCATAAGATTAAAAAGATTAACAAGGAAAGAAGAATGCATAATTTGCCAACCCAACTCCAGTTGACATGTACTAGAGAGTAACAAAAGATGCTTCCTACCTTTGCGGTGTGACATTTGTTGATTTTCCTATACAGGAAGACCCCCAAGAACACAAACAAGATGATTGATATGACTGGAACTGAGATGAGGGGATTCTGAAAAGACCAGAGAATCAACCAGAATGCCCGGATGCCTGAAAAAAGCAATTATTGTCTTTTCAGGGTGATTGTAACAAGACACCCACCAACACATGACCCCATGGTGCTTGCTTCATCCCTCCCTGTGAGAAAGAGAAGAGGAAGGCTGGTTTTGACCTGCGGCTCCCGCACTGGGTCTGTTAGAAATGAATTTTTAAAAATATTTTATACTTTGTATGCCTGACTGCATTGCCCCAGCCACTCTGGGAGGCTTCCAACAGAATATAAAAACACAGTAAAACACCAAACGTTAAAAGCTTCCCTGAACAGGGCTGCCTTGAGATGTCTTCTAAAAGTCTGGTAGTTCTTTATCCCTTTGACATCTGATGGGAGGGCGTTCCACAGGGAGGGTGCCACCACCAATTAGCTAATTAGGCCCCACTAGCTAAAGTCGTGCTTCAGGTTAAGAACAGTTTCAGGTTAAGAACAGACCTCCGGAACGAATTAAGTACTTAACCCGAGGTACCACTGTAAATAAACAAAAGTTTATGTTCCAATTTAACTCTGACTGGATTCAGTATTGTACCAGGTAGGGCCTGGGTGGGGGCAGCGAGAAATAAAGTGGTGGCAATAGATGGTGAAACATCCGGGGACCCCGTGTGTTCACCACACACCCGCCAACACGTGCCCCCATGGTGCTTGCTTCATCCCTCCCTGTGAGAAAGAGAAGAGGAAGGCTGGTTTTGACTTCTAAAGACCTTCGTGGTTAGATCCAGGTTACCCAAAATATTATATTCGAGTGAAAATATTAAATTTACTGCATGTACTACGTTAAAGGAAAATGTCATGAAAATGGTTTATAGATGGTATATTACACCTGTAAAACTTGCAAAAATGTATAAAACATGTAAGAAGTGTTGGAAATGTAAAGAAAAGGATGGTACATTTTATCATATGTGGTGGGAATGTAAGAAAGTGAAGAGCTTCTGGGAGCTGATATATAATGAATTGAAAAAGATGTTGAAATATACATTTGTTAAGAAACCAGAGGCCTTTCTCTTAGGAATTATAGGAAATGAAATAAATAGAAAGGATTGTGAACTTTTCCAATATGCAGTAACAGCGGCAAGAATATTACTGGCCCAAAAATGGAAACAGGAACAATTACCAACATTGGAGGAATGGAGAATGAAGTTGATGGACTATGCAGAACTTGATAAATTAAGTGGGAAGATCAGATATCTACGAGATCAAAAGTTCATCGAGGACTGGGGAAAGTTTGTAGATTATTTGGAATGTATAAGTGAGGAGAGAATAACGCTAGTGGCATTTCAAGACGCTCTGTAAAAGTTTCAGAAGTATTGTAAAAAAGAAAAGCAAATTTGGAAGGATATGCTAAAAGGCAATAGCAAATTTAGGAAATGTGTAATTAAAAAAGTTAAATTTGGACGATTGTCAGAGAGGCTGAAGGAAGTCCAAAAGGGAAAATCTGTGAAAGTTTCAATGTGGTGTTATATGCATTTTTTTCCTTGTTTTTTGATGGAAAATTAATAAAAATACAGAGCTAATTAATTAATCCAGACAGTTAACTGATGTCTCTTTTAAACTTTTCTTATATGGTTTTATGGTTTTGTTGCTGTAAACCGCTTTGATATGTTTTTTACGGCCCAGCAGTATACAAATATTTTGACAAATAAAACAAACTTGGAGAAAGGCAGGATACAAACACATTAAATAAAGAAAGGCTAATGGGGAAATGGGCCAGGGGTTCCTTACCTTCAGCTGGGCAGAGGCTGAGGAGGTTGATGGAAATGTTCTTCTGATCCACCGGATTGCTCACCAGGCAGGTGATGTTGGCATCCGAGGCGTTGCGATGCCAGAACAGATGGAGATCTTCCCCGTTGTCAGAGAGTTGGTGCCAGTCCGGGCTCTTGTCTAGGGCTCTGAGGGGATTCCCTCTTTTCCAGGAGACACGGAAGTCTCCCGTTCCTGATGCCTGGCACCGCAGGGTTACATTGCAGCCATCAGGCGTGTTGGAGATCAGTTTATGGGTGACCTGCGGCTCCCGCACTGGCTCTGTTAGAAATGAATTTTTAAAAATATTTTATTCTTTGTATGCCTGACTGCGTTACCCCAGCCACTCTGGGAGGCTTCCAACAGAATATCAAAAACACAGTAAAACACCAAACGTTAAAATCTTCCCAATACAAGGCAGCCTTCAGATGTCTTCTAAAAGTTGTGTAGTTCTTTATCCCCTTGACATCTGATGGGAGGGCGTTCCACAGGGAAGGTGCCACCACCAAGAAGGCCCTCTGCCTGGTTCCCTGTAACCTCATTTCTCGCAGGGAGGGAACCGCCAGAAGACCCTCAGAGCTGGACCTCAGTGTCCGGGCTGGACAATGGGGATGGAGACACCCCTTCAGTTATACTGGGCCAAGGCCGTTTAGGGATTTAAAGGTAAGCAGCAACATTTGGAATTGTGTTTTACTTTGATGCCTCTGGGGTTTCACTGACTGGGGGTTTTTTGGGGGGGTGCTGGCTGCTTCCTCATCACCATTTCCACATCCATCAGATGGGCTTGATGAAAGAAGAGTGTCCGTTGCTGGAAACCACAGGAAGGAAGAGTTGTTCCCGGGTTCTGCTTGTGGGCTTCCCATGATGGGCATCTGGTCGGCCACAGTAGAGACAGGAGGCTGGACTAGAAGGTCCCCTTTGGCCTGGTTCAGCAGATCCTTCCTATGTTCTTATGCATTCTGCAGCCTAGGGGCCACCACCAAGAAGGCCCTCTCTCCATCCCCCTCCCTAGGCCACCCTCCCCAAACTTTTGAGGATGGCAGGACTACCAAGAGGGTCCCGACTGCCGATCTCAACACCTGAAAGAGTCTGTAAGGAAGGAGGTGGTTTTCCCCTAGGCAGGTGAAAGTGAACAGGACTGAATTTCTCCCACATCCTTACAGTGTGCAATGGTGGAACAAGTACATACCATAGACAGTGAGGTTGAATGTGTGTGATTCTGTCACTCCTGTGGAAAACGTCACATGAGCCGTGTAGTTCCCACTGTCCTTCACCACCAAATTGCTTATCTTCAGCGTGGTGCCATCAACCATTTCCAAACGCTGCCCCAAACTGTCGCTCGTATTCCACCGCTTCCATTTCCCATCACTGAATCGCCCAAGGTCGTTTGCCTTGCCTTGTCGAGGGTGGAATATCCATTTAACGATGGACACGGTATTGGCCGAGGTTATATGTACAGGAAGCAAGGCAGATTCTCCCAAGATCCTGTTCAGCTGAATCGTAGGAGTCTTTGGTACCCGACTGCTTACAAGGCCTAAGTGTTTTTCAGGAAGGGAAAAATAAGTAAAAGGAGAAAGGGAGAAAGTGAAGGGGGAGAGCGCCAAATATTGATGCTTCTTTTATATCAGGTAGAGCAGGATATCATAATATTGTTGCACATTTGCCAGATGGTGTGAATGACTCCTTGAGTCCTTTCCAGTTCTCGGGTCCTGTACACAGTGAGGGTTAGAATGCAATAGAGGTTGGGACACAATATACAGATGGCAGATTGGGAGAGGCTATGGAAAATAGATTTGAAATTTAAGGCATTTTGTACGCTGAAAGAAAATTATATGAAAATGATGTATCGGTGGTATTTGACTCCTACTACGTTAGCAAAAATGTATAGAACAAGAACCAATATCTGCTGGAAGTGTAAAGAAAAGGAAAGAACATTTTATCATATGTGGTGGAAGTGCAAGATAACAGAAACATTCTGGGAGATGATATATAATGAAATGAAAACAATGTTTAAAGTAACTTTTGCTTTAAAAAAAAACCCAGAAGCTTTTCTAGGAATTACATGTACCGAGATCACAAAGGACCAGAAAAGGCTTTTTATGTATGCAAACAGCCGCACGGACTTTACTAGCCCAGAGATGGAAGGAAGAAACAATGTAGACAGGGAAGAATGGCAAACCAAGTTGATGGACTACGCTGAAATGGCAAAATTGACTGGGAAGCTCAGAAACCAAAAGGACAAGAACTTTAAAAAAGAATGGGGGGAAATTATAATATATCTACGAGACCATTGTAACAGACGAAAACATTAGCAGGATTTTAACCACACTTGTAAAGTAACAAAAATTATGGATAATTTAGAGGGACAAAATATTTGGATAATGAATTGATATGCAGATATAAATATTAGCATTAGGGCCCATGGAGGGGGGAGGAGTTGCGAGATTCAGAGTAATCTCTGTACAGTGGTAACTCGGTTTACGAACTTAATCCGTTCCAGAAGTCCGTTCTTAAACCAAAACCGTTCTTAAACCAAGGTTCACTTTCCCTAATGAGGCCTCCTGCTGCCGGTGCCCTTCCACTGTTCGGATTCCGTTCTTGGACCGAGGTAAAGTTCTCAAACCGGGACACTACTTCCGGTTTTGCAGAGTTCTTAAACCAAATCGTTCTTAAACCGGACTGTTCTTAAACCGAGGTACCACTGTACAGTCATACCTCATGTTACATCCACTTCATGTTACGTTCTTTCAGGTTACGTCCCAAGGCAACCCGGAAGTACTAGAAAGGGTTACTTCCGGGTTTCACCGCTTGCGCATGCGCAGAAGCACAAAATGGCGTCACACGAAGTGATGAATCACAAGCTGCGTGTGCGCAGATGCGCCGCTGCAGGTTGTGTTCTTTTCATGATGCAAACAGGCCTCCACAACAGATCCCGTTCGCAACCAGAGGTACCACTGTATATGGATTTAGATTTGATTTTGTTACATGTTGTTTATTTTATTTATTTATTTATTTTTGTTTATTTCCAAACAAAAACAAAGAATGCAATAGAGGTTTCACTCGCTAAATTAGTTGGACAGGTTTCTTTGTACGAGAATGACCTAAGCTGGCTCCTTAAGTGTCAGCATCGCCAAAGAGCAGGCCAGGTTGCGAGAGCTACAACTAAGTGATGGGGACCTCCAGGCTAATGGGCAGCCATCGAACCTCTGTTTCAAAACCTTCTAGGTCCACCACCTTCTGAGGCTCTTACCATCAGAAAGTTCTCCCTAATGTTTAATTCAAATCTCCTTTCTTGAATCTGTTGGTTGAATCTGCCCTCCAGAGCAGTGGAAGAAAAGCTTTCTCCACTTTCCATGTTGTTCCCTTTTGTGGAATGTTATTGGTTTAACTACTCTGGAGCTGCCCTGAGTTACGTCAAAGCACTGGAAGTGCAGGACAGAAATCTTTGCATAGTTCTTTCTGATTTGTCTGCACATGGTTAGAATTTATGGGCAGAAGCTCCTTCCTGTTAACTGAGCGAGCGCTTTCTCTGAGCCGCCTCATTCAGCTGTAATTTAGCCATCCCCGCTTCCTCTTTCATGACAAACCTCACTCCCTGACTCTCTTCAACAACCTCGACCCACTTCAACAAGCGAGCAAGATTTGCAGAACTTACCAAGGAAGGAGCAGATGAAAGTGCCCAAGAGAAGACAGGCCATGGAGATTTTGCCGGCACATTTCGCAGCCATGGCTGTGCATGTGCTGCAAAGCAAAGTGCAAAACTTTGAGCTCAGGGCTGTGTTTAAACAAATCACTGACACAAAGTCAGCAAGAAAGCAGGCAAAGTGTAAACAGGGCTCAGATTGGTCACCTGGGATCAGATGATTAGTCAGTAAAAGTGAGTCAGTTTCCTTGCTGAACTTCTGGCAGTCTGTGTGTGTGTGTGTGTATATATATATATCTCAAGAGGGGGGAGTTGAGCAGTTTGTTTATATCTTCTTTCTAGCAGAGACATCACCTTGCCAACAAAAGTCCGTATAGTTAAAGCTCTGGTTTTCCCAGTAGTGATGTATGGAAGTGAGAGCTGGACCATCAAGAAGGCTGATCGCCAAAGAATGGATGCTTTTGAATTCTGGTGCTGGAGGAGACTCTGGAGAGTCCCATGGACTGCATGAAGATCCAACCTCTCCATTCTGAAGGAAATCAGCCCTGAGTGCTCCCTGGAAGGACAGATCCTGAAGCTGAGGCTCCAAGACTTTGGCCACCTCATGAGAAGAGAAGACTCCCTGGAAAAGACCCTGATGTTGGGAAAGATGGAGGGCACGAGGAGAAGGGGACGACAGAGGATGAGATGGTGGGACAGTGTTCTTGAAGCTACCAGCATGAGGGAGGCAGTGGAAGACAGGAGGGCCTGGCATGCTCTGGTCCAGGGGGTCACAAAGAGGCAGACACGACTAAATGACTAAACAACAAAAGGAGCCTTAGATGCAACCTGAAACCTGCATTCAGTCTTAACTGCTCTTTCGGAAACTGCCATCGCTCAGTTAGCAGAGCATTTGCTGGAGAGCTGCTGCCAGTCCGTGAGGGCAATACTGAGCGAGGCAGACCAATCGCTGAAGAACATAAGCAGGCCTGGGAAGGTGGCGGGACCAAGAGAAGGGCCTCCCCCGAAGACTTGCAGAGTTTCCCCGGCATGAAGCTTCCTTCCCACACATACGCAGGCCGAGCTCAGCAGGATGGGAGTTTCACAGCAGTCTTGCTCCCCAGGAGATTCCAAAGAGAAACTGCAACGCCAGATCACTGAATAGTCACAGAGAGCAAACCAGGCCTTGGCGTGTTTCTCAGACGTGGTTCCAGGGATACCCAGCGATTGCCCACTTTTTCACATACACAGGGAAAGCTCTTTTTTCTTTTTCCAAAAATTTTTTTTTTCCAAAAAGTTTTTTTATTGATTTTCCATATTTATCACAAAATGACATAACAAAACACACAACAAAGAAAAACACACTACACTACAATAAAATTAAACACAAAGAAAAATTATTTCTTCAAATACCTAATTCTCCTTACATTGATAACTGACTTCCTCGAATCCCCTCTGACTGAATTTCATTATATCACCCTATATAACAGTTCTCCAAATTCATATTTCTAATTATGTTGATTCCTTTCATTAACTAACCTCTTCTCCTTTATTAATATTCTAATCCTTAATATTTACTACCACATATTCTTATTCTACCCCTAAGCCTATTTATTCAGTGAGAGATTTTATTTTCTTGGGCTCCATGATCACTGCAGATGGTGACAGCAGTCACGAAATTAAAAGACGCCTGCTTCTTGGGAGAAGGGCGATGGCAAACCTAGACAGCATCTTAAAAAGCAGAGACATCACCTTGCCAACAAAGGTCCGTATACTTAAAGCCATGGTTTTCCCAGTAGTGATGTATGGAAGTGAGAGCTGGACCATAAAGAAGGCTGATCGCCGAAGAATGGATGCTTTTGAAATCTGGTGCTGGAGGAGACTCTTGAGAGTCCCATGGACTGCAAGAAGATCCAACCTCTCCATTCTGAAGGAAATCAGCCCTGAGTGCTCACTGGAAGGACAGATCCTGAAGCTGAGGCTCCAAGACTTTGGCCACCTCATGAGAAGAGAAGACTCCCTGGAAAAGACCCTGATGTTGGGAAAGATGGAGGGCACAAGGAGAAGGGGATGACGGAGGAGGAGATGGTGGGACAGTGTTCTCGAAGCTACAAACATGAACCTGACCAAACTGCGGGAGGCGGTGGAAGAAAGGAGTGCCTGGCGTGCTCTGGTCCATGGGGTCATGAAGAGTCGGACACGACTAAACGACTAAACAACAACAACAACAACAACAAGCCTATTTATTACTTCCAAGAATTTTCTATTTATCTTATATCACAATATTTAGCTAAATATTCTTTAAATTTCTTCCAATCCTCTTGTATCTCCTCTTCTTTCTGGTCGTGGATTCTTCCAGTCGGGTCGGCCAGCTCCAAAAAGTCCAACATCTTCACCTGCCATTCTTCTATTGTTGATATTTCTTGCAATTTCCAATTTTTAGCTAATAAAAGTCATGCCGCTGTAGTGGCATAAGAAAACAGTCTAGCATCTTTTTGGGGCAATTCCATACACAGGGAAAGCTCTTAATGAAATCACCTCTAGCACCTTTCAAAGGACAGCTGTGCTTCAGTTTGCATACCGATTCAGGTAGCCTTTTCTTTAAAAAGAAAAATAGAAAAGCCATCAGCCGGCTGGATGTCAACAATAGTGGCTCCTGAGATTCACACCTGAATCAACTCCAAATTGTGTGGAGAGAAGCAGTCCATTGGCAGGGAGAAAGCAACGCAGTTCTCCATTCTGGGATGCAGGTGGCACTGTGGTGTAAACTACTGGGCCTCTTGGGCTTGCCTATCAGAAGGTTGGTGGTTCAAATCCCCGTGAGCTCCCGTTGCTCTGTCCCAGCTCCTGCCAACCTAGCAGTTCGAAAGCACGCCAGTGAAAGTAGATAAAGAGGTACCGCTCTGGCGGGAAAGTAAACGGTATTTCCATGCGCTCTAGCTTCCGTCACGGTGTTCCATTGCACCAGAAGCAGTTTAGTCCTGCTGGCCACGTGTCTGTGGACAAAAGCCGGCTCCCTCGGCCTGAAAGCGAGATGAGCGCCACAACCCCATAGTCGCCGTTGACTGGACTCGACCGTCCAGGGGTCCTTTACCTTTTACTGTCTCCATTCTGATCCACCTGCAAGGACAGAGAGAAACAGAACAAGCTGTGCAGGACCTGAGCCACTCCAGTATGCAGAACCAGCTATGAATGAACTGAGCAGCTGAAGAACAAAGGACCAGCGATGCAGGACCTGACCGGATCCAGAATGCAGGCCCAGGCGGCAGCTTAGAAAAGGTTCAGGTGACCCAAGTCCATAAATCGAACCCTGGACAGTGTGCTCTGCTACTAGATCAATGAACATCTTCCTTCCACTTTACTCTGTTCTACATTTCTTTTTAAAACGTTTCTGGAAACCATGTCCCACAAATCCAGAAATAGTAAAGTCTGGCCTGTAGGGAAAAAATCCAAAAGGCAAAAACTTTATTGGGTCCAGTCGTGACCGACTCTGGGGTTGCGGCGCTCATCTCGCTTTACTGGCCGAGGGAGCCGGTGTACAGCTTCCGGGTCATGTGGCCAGCAGGACTAAGCCGTTTCTGGCGAACCAGAGCAGCGCACGGAAACGCCCTTTACCTTCCCGCCAGAGTGGTACCTATTTATCTACTTGCACTTTGATGTGCTTTCGAACTGCTAGGTTGGCAGGAGCAGGGACCGAGCAACAGGAGCTCACCCCATCGCGGGGATTCGAACTGCCAATCTTCTGATCGGCAAGTCCTAGGCTCTGTGGTTTAACCCACAGCGCCACCCGCGTCCCATAATAACTTTATTAGGCCAACCAAATAAACCACCTCTCTGTGTGTCTCTTTCCTGACCTCTGAGGCCGGTGGTGCATATTTATACACACAGATTTGTGATAAGAAGTTTGTTTCGTGCTTCTTTTGGGGGGCTCAGTCCATGTGACCAGTTAAGGCTGAGACAGTTCTGGGCAAGGTTGGCAAGAGTTACTGGAATTTGTGGGAAGTGGCAGTTGCAGGGGGGGCAATTTGGCCTGAAATGACCATCATGGTTGCTGGACTCCCCACTCCCTCTCAGCCCCAGCAGCCAGCAGGACCATTGGTCAGGAAGCAGGATGGGAACTGGGGTCCATCAATATCTGGAGGGCCCCAGCCTGCTTCCCCCTTCCCTTGCTAGGAAGCCTAATCCTGGGCTTCATTTGCCCCCTTCACTTTTAATGTCTTCTTCAGCAAACTTTGAGGTTCTCCCAAACATTTGGAGACCTCCTTCTGGTTTGGGCTCTGTTCCTATCAGTGCATGCACCACCTGATGGAGGGAGTGAATGAAAAGCACCCCAGTGTTCCGCCTGAAATAAATAAGTTAAGGTCTTATGTATATAATAAAGGTTCATAAATGTACCAAGCAAACACGTCCATAGTTATATAGGCCACATGTTGAAGCTGCACAGGACAGCAGCCATGGAGCCATTTTGACTCCCAGGCTGACCAGGTGTTTTCTCTGTAAGGTCAAACGGAGGAGCCTCCCCATTGTCTTTTCCTTCACAAATCCTGTCTTAAGGGTAAGTCTCTCTGTGTTTGAATAGGGTGAGCCTGTGACTTGGCTCAGAAACTAAGTACTTATCATTACAAAAGACTGGCCAGTCTCCCCTGGGTATCCAATCAAGTGAGCATTAACAGGTCACCTGCCAGACAGGAGGTAAACAACGCACTCAGATTTCTGCTGTAGACTGCCCTTTCTGTGATGTATGTATGATGTTTCTGGGGGTGGTCTTTGACTCCAGGGCGGGCAATTTAAAATGTCTATATAAGGGGGGGTACACCTTTGTTCGGGGTCCTCCTCCTTCTCCTGCGTGTGAAGGGGGCACCCTGTTGCAACAGATCAATAAAGATCAGGCTTACTAGCCGCTTTGCTTCTCAATATTCTCTGGTTGGCCTCTGTTATTTTCTCCTACCAATAGGAAACCTACGTAAGGACTCTATAAGGGCTCTTGTGTCCCCCATAAGGGAATAAGGGCAGAATTTCATTTATTACACGCCACTCTGCAAGATCACCTCACCTGGTCACAATTCTTGTCTGTGGAGGATCTTCTCTTCTTCCTCCACTTCTTCCCCATAATGAAGCTCAGGGGAGGTCTATTATTCGGCACTGTGGGGTGTAATGAAAT